GGGGGGGGGGGGGGAAGGCTTTTTCTCCACCACCATAACGGCTGCGTAGAGCGGGAGGGCCCCAAAATGGGAGCTGGGGAGGGCCCCCCTCCCCGCGGAAGGGGGAGGATCCCTCACAACGGGCACTGAAGGAGGAACGCGGTGGGGGGGATCCTACATCCCGGCAGCGAGGAGGGGGACCCCGCGGAGATGGAGGCCCCGGCTGCCCAGACCGGGAACGGGGGAGCCCCCCCCCCGGTCCCCCAGCCCAACCGGCCAGCGGGAGCCCTGCCACTCACCGCGCTCTTCTTGGCCACCATCTTGTCCAGCCGCCTGGCGATGCGGACGATCTCCTCCTCCCCGCCCATCGCGCCGCTCCCCGCGGCGTCCGGTCCCGGGGAGGGACGGGGGGGGCTGGCGGCCGCTGCCCGGTGCCCACCACAGCCCCCGGTACCGCAGTCCGGGCGGGCGGCGCGCGGGGTACGACGGGAATTGTAGTCCACCAGGCGCCCGCCCGCCTCTTCCCTGCGCGCCGTCGCGCAGCGGGACTACAACTCCCGGCGTGCCTCGCGCCCGCCCTGCCCCGCCGCAGGGCACGCTGGGGGCTGTAGTCCATCCCCCCGGGAGCCGCAGACCGCCGCCCTGATGGCGGAGACCCGGGGTCTCTCCCTCCCGCGGTGTCGTTTCAGGGTCTCCCCGAATCGGCGGGCACCACAGGCGTGTCCCAATACGTCGTCGCGGCGGCTGAGCTGATGGTGGGGGGCACAGCATCTCCAAGGCAGAGGCAGCCCCATCCCTCAGGGAGCCCCCCACTGAGGGCTCGCTGAGCTGGGCCCCTGGTGGCCACCCACCCACAGCCCAGCCTGGCTGGGAGCAGGCACTGGCGAGCCCTGCCCTTTATAACCTGCCCAGGCCCTGCCACAGGTGGGCCCCGCTTCGCTTCCTGCCCCAGCCGCAGGTGGGCTGATGCCCGTGGAGCCACAGGTGGGCCGATGCCCGTGGAGCCACAGGTGGGCCAGCGACCGTGGAGCCACAGGTGGGCCAGCGACTGTGGAGCCACAGGTGGGCCGGTGACCATGGAGCCACCGTGGCCCTGGCAGCAGCACCGCCTGAAAGAGGAGGCAAATCAGCAGTCAGGGAAGCAGCTCCAGCAGCAATCGAGCGCGGCAGGAATATCACCCATGGCCACAATCGCCCTGCGGGTTGCCCTCAGCGGCCACGGTTAGCCCCGCTGGCCTGGCTACACCGAGATGTGGGGCCATACGGATGGCCCGGCACGGCCTTAGGGGCTTGAGACTAATTAACAGAAGGGTGGAGAGGGGCTGGATGGTTTGGGGGTGCCCAAGCCGGGGCGTGGAGCCCCCCTGTAGGTGGCACTCGTACTCTGTGCGAGGGCGGCGCGTCCCCCCGGGAGCTGCGCTGTGGGACTCGCCGCTCAATAGTGTTGCTCTCTCCAGCTGGTTCCTGGCACGGGGAGAACTTCAATGCCTCCTCCTGCACAGCCGGCTCCGCAGCCCCTCGCCAAGCGTGGATGTTTTGGAGAAGGCCCTGACTGTGCTGGTAAAGAGCGGCCGTGTCCTGCCCCGGCGGGGCTGCAGATCTAGCAAAAGCGTTGACATGGGCTACATGTGGCCTCAGGCTGCAGAATTAGGTGTTGGGAAGCAGGGCTCCCTCAGCTCAGCTCCATCCCTTCTCTCTCCTGTGGCAGCTGAGTCCCTGAGGGCAGATTTTTAGCTTTACCAGCACACAAAGGCGGGGAGTATTGAACAGATCGGTGCTAAACCTCTGCTTGGGTGGCTGTCCCCCAAAAACCTCCCGTTAGGGGTACCTAAAGCTGCCAGTGTGCTGTTCTTTGTGGCAGCTCGCGTGGAGTTGGACAGAACTATGGGATCCCCTCGGGGCAAGAGCTGCTCCCCAGATGTGTGAGACATTTCGAGTCATCCCCGAACCAGCAGAGGTGGCCCCAGACCAAACCTGAGCTCCAGACCCGCTCCCTGGCATGACGCTTGGAGCTACCTTGAAACTTCTTGGCTTGGCCCCATGTTTGCGAACGCGAGCTCCCTCCAACCCGCCGTCTGGAGCCTCTGCAGCATCTGGAAAGCCTCCATCCCTTGGCAGGGTCTGGCCGTGAAGTCAGGGGGTGCCATTTTGAAGAGGCCCACCTCTGCGAGGGAGGAGGAAACAAGTCCCAAGAAGGGGACCTTCTGGAGGTCCTTGGAAGCGGGGCAGCTGCCTGTCCCGTGTGTGGGGTCGGGTCACGCCGGTCCTCGGCGTCAGAGGAGCGCTCGAGCGGCACTGCTGCCACTGTGACTGTGGTTTGTGTCACTGCAGCGCCAAGATGGTTCCTGACCACAAATATGGCCGGGGACGTGTCTCGGATTCCAGAGAGCACAGTCACCGATGCCGAGCGCTGTCACCCCCGTCGCTCCCTGCCTCCGAGCGAGAAACCCGTCACCCCTGCCAACGCCGGCCTCCCGCCGCCGCCGGCCGTCCTCGCCCAGGCCCCACGACTGCCTGGTTGGCAGCAGGTCCCCGAGGGACACAACGGCACGGAATCCTCACGCCGGCAGCCCCGGCAGGGTGGGAGAGGAACGTGCCCCCTGCCCCTGCGTGCCCACGGGCACGGGCCAGCCCTGCAGCCCGACCCTGCCCATCCCGCGGCTCCGCTCTTCCCAAGGGTTAACGGGACAGGCGTTTGGTGGAGCGGGGAGGGTTTCTGGCTGACCTTGGCTGGGAAACAGCGGTGGCGTCGCTCAGCCCAACCCCCCGAGCGTGGAGCCGGTGGCCGGAGCGCTCCCCAAGCCTGGGTGGAGGTAGATCCAGAGGAAACTCCACCTCCGCGGGAGCCAACCTGCTATTGCAGGAATTCCCAGAGAAATTCCCGCTTGGGCTGATCTGTCAGCGGATCCATGAACTTTGTTTTACCTCTTGTGAAAGCAGCTACTTGAATGTGCTAAAAACGGAGCAGGGGCGAGTCTGTCGCTGGAGCTGGGCTCGGGGGAGAGGTTGGGAGGGGGTTTAGCTGACCCCTGGACACCCAGAGGCACCGTGAAAGGCTCTGTACATGGTGCCTTGCTGGCAGCTCCCCTCCACAGGCAGAGCTGGTGGACCCAGGAGAAGAGTTTGCTGCAAAATGAAACCCCAAAAAAATCTCACCTGGTTTTCCCATGAGCTACAGCATTTCCCAAGTGACTCTCAGCTGATTTGGCCCCAACGGATGGGCTGGATCAGGTCAGATGAGCTTTCCTTGCTTTCCTTGCAGATTCAAGTTCACCATCATTCGTTTGGAGATTGGCCACCAAACCCCACCCTTTTTATTGCTCCCAACCACGGGAGGCTCAATCTGGGCCACTTTTGGAGAAGGCAGAGAGGAGAAAGCCCTTCAGGGCCCAGCCTTGCCCAACAACCCACCATGAGACCCCTGGGGAAGCTCTGTCCTGAGACACCCCCTAATTTTGGGTGTGCCCATGTCTCCAGAATCTCAGTTTGGGGGTCACAGCTCGTAGGGACAAGAAGGTTGGGTGTCCCTGGGCAACACACTGGGCTCTGAGCTGGTAGTGAGAGACCCCATGCAGGGAACAGCAGACAGCAGGTAGACCCCAAGCCCTCATCCAGCCCCAGAACAGAGGCAGGGATCCTGCCTTATCTCCCCCTCCTCACTGCAATTGTCTGATGTCCTCAGTCTCCTGGCCCTGGCACCAGGGACACTTGACCCTGGAGGCCAAAATGCTTCATCTGAACACTTAAGGAACATGGAGAATTTGGCCCCAATGGTGACTTGCATTTCTGTCTGGCAGACCATCCTGTTTTCTCCTCTAAGGAGTCAAAGGACCTCCCCCCACCTCGTCTCGTGGCACAGACCCTCCAAACCGCTGTGGGCCCTGGGAGATAACGCAGGCTCCATCCGTGCCACTCCAGCAGAGCAGCTCACAGAAGCTCTGTGTCCTCTGCTCCCCACCGCATCTGTCCCAGAACTGCTGGTGAGCAGCCCACGCTTGGGGACACCACCATCTGGACCTCCTGGGACAAGTCCCGCACCAGGAAGGGCGTCAGGATTTGGCTGTAGCGGGCAACAGCCGCGGAGGAGAACGTGGCCAGGACCACCCCGTGTGGTAGCCCAGCCTCTGCCACCCTGCAAAAGAGGGAGAGCATGGAAGGGAGGATGCGGAGGAGATGATGGTTCCCCTGGGCCCTGCACATTGCGAGCGCCAGGGTGGAGTTTGGACCTCCAGCTTTGCAGATGCTCTTCTGAGGCGCTTTGGATGTTCCCTAAATCTCCTCCTTCTAACGACTTTAATTATACTGGCTGCTGTTCAAAATGAGAATGGCAGGGGGAGGACGGAGTGCTAAGCAGCAGCCTGTCACGCTTTACGAGGTGTTCTTGGGGGACACTGGGCCAGACAAGCAGCCGTCCCAGAGCCGTGCCAGCCCAAGTGGGTGCAGGCTCCTGGGCCACGCTGGCCACCAACAGGCTCTGGGCTGGCCCGTGTGTGCGTGAGAGCGTGTGCAAGCGCTCGGGTCTCCTTTCTCTCCCCCTCTCTGTCTCCTTTTATTCGCCTCCATAAAACATAGGAAGTTCAAGCCATTCATTTTGCTATTTGTGTCTCCCTCCCCACGCCCCGGTTCCCTCCCTTGCCCCCTGCAGCCTCTCGGCTCGCTGCTTGCCCAGCATCCTTGACCCCGAGGAGTCTGGTGTGTATGCACTTCCCTTTTGGCCCATGGAACACGCCACTCCGAACTGGTGCCTTGATAAGTCTGCTGTGGGAAGGCAGGGGCTCCTGGGCTCTCACACAGGGCTTTCCCGTGGAGCATTTCCTATGCTCCCCCCTGCTCACCGGCCCGATCTCCAGAGCAGGGCGGTGGGGAGGCTCTCTGGATGGCGGTGCCCCTCCGTGGCAGCAGCTCTGTCCTCCCCCAGCTCTGTGTCAAAAGCCGTGGCGCCTAAATGGAGGTGTCCTCCCGAGGAGGAGGGGGATGATGATGATGGTTAGCTTCCCACGGGCTAACGTGGCACCTCTCAGCTCACCCATAGCGAAGGATTGCAAAGGGGTTTGACCCCCCCCAGCCCCTTCCTCGCAGGGGTTTTGCAAACAGGGCTCTGATATTGTTTCCCACAGAGTTTGGGATCGACGGGGCCTGTGTCCTCTCTGCAAAAGGAGCAGGGACGTGGCAGAGACCTCAGAGGAGCTGGAGACAGGGATCGACTGGCAGAGAGGGAGGAAGGAGAGGCTCAGCCAGGAGGGCTGGGGGGGCCTTTTCTCAGAAACACCCTCCTCTGAGCTGCCCTGCCGAAGCACAAGGCCCTCGGTGTTTCAGCCGTGGGCTGGTGGCCGTGGTGGTCCCTCCATCACCACCACCATGGGGACACAAGGACTGTGCCCACACGGACACCTTCTCCTGCCCACCAGAGGCAGAGGGTGACACCCAGGCAATGTTCGGCCTCCTCTATCCATGGCTGGAGCAAAAGCTGCTTCAGCACGGCTGCAGGGAGCCCTGGGGGGCACCCATGGCAGGGACAAGGGCACCCATGACCTAAAAGCTATCAGGGCTCCTAGGACTGGGATTCATGAGCCTGAGGGTTCTGCTGGGCTAACTGGGAGAACTGGGAGGAAGAGTCTGCAGGGTAAGGGGCTGCACCATGGCATGCTGAGGGGTGAAGGCAGTGTCCCCCCTGCCTTGCTGCCTCCATCCTCCCTTTGAATCCCCCCAAAGTGCACAGCGAGGCTGGGCAGAGCCAGGTCACCGAGGTTTTGCTGTGCCCTTTGCTCTCCAGCTCTCCTTGCAGCAATGGCATGGCGGAGAAGAACCTTCTCCCCCTTATCTCCCCATGGGTGGCCCTGCAGCCGGCTCAGCTGCCCCACGGCCCAGCAGCGAGCCCTGATCTCATCAGCCGCCGCCGCACACTTGCAGCTTGAACAATAACCTCCTTCCCTGCCTGACACAATTCCCAGAAATGCACAGCCTCCTGCTAAAGCCTCCCCGGGGGAAAGCATGCCAGCCGGCCTGTCGGCACCAGCACGGACATCCCTGCCAGCCGCTGGCAAACGCAGCTCGCCGCGTCCCCGGCGCGGAGGCACCTCGGCGAAAACAAGGGTGTGCTGGGTGGGGTGGAGGGAGAGGGCTTGGGGCCATCCTTTAGCTGGCCCCACTCAGGAAGTCCCTTTCCCTCTGGGTGTTCACCACCAGGCGCCTTCTCCCGTCCCAGCCACCCCGTTCGTAGCCCCCCGCTTGGCCACCATCACCCTGCCTGCTCCCAGTGCCCACTGGGTGCACGGGGACAAAACCCAGCCCTGGTTGCCCGGGCTGGGAGAGTAGAGAAGGGGCTTGTGCCTCCCCTCACCCCATTGGAACCCCAGCCTGGAGAAGCTCTTCTGTATAGAATCATCATAGAATGGTTTGGGTTGGAAGGGGCCTTGAAGATCTTCTAGTTCCAACCCCCTGCCCTGGGCAGGGACACCTCCCACCAGACCAGGTTGCTCCAAGCCCCCTCCAACCTGGCCTTGAACCCCTCCAGGGATGGGGCAGCCACAGCTTCTCTGGGCAACCTGGGCCAGGCTCTCACCCCCCTCACAGCAAAGAACTTCTTCCCCACATCTCATCTAAATCTCCCCTCTTTCAGTTTAAAACCCTTCCCCCTCATCCTATGGCTCCCCTCCCTGATCCAGAGTCCCTCCCCATCTCTCCTGGAGTCCCTTTAGGGACTGGAAGGGGCTCTAAGGGCTCCCCGGAGCCTTCTCTTCTCCAGGCTGAACCCCCCAACTCTCTCAGCCCCCCCTCCCAGCAGAGGGGCTCCAGCCCCCCCAGCATCTCCGTAGCCTCCTCTGCACTTGATCCAACAGGTCCACGTCCTTCTGATGCTGGTGGCCCCAGAGCTGGAGACAGCCCTGGGTGGTGGGTGGTCTCCCCGGAGCGGAGCAGAGGGGCAGAATCCCCCCCTGGCCCTGCTGCCCACGCTGCTGGGGATGCAGCCCAGGATGCCTCTTGCAGCATCACCGAGCGGCTCAGCCTGCTGGAGCTTTCCCTCAGAACATCTGAGTCATTGCTGCTGCTGCTTCCAGATGGAATATCTGGACACGGGGCAGGCCCAGCTGGACGCTGGAGGTGGGTATTTACCCTGCCCCAGCTGAGCAGGGAGCAGGAGAGGGCCAGGCCAGCGGCTGGCACCGCCATCCTTTCTCCAAGGGCTTCCTCTGGGGCTCACCAGCACATGTGTCCTGCTGGAGCCAGATGTGCCATGTAGGGAGGCACAGTGGCAGTCGGGTGCAGGCTGTGACCAATGCACACCACGTTTTCCTCCCTGCAGACCTCGCAGGGCTGCTGCATACACCCCAAACCCCCCTGTAAAGCTGCAGCTCCAGCACCATCCCGCATCCCAGCTGGATGGGGAGCAGCACCCGGCGCTGAGCAGTGGCCAAGGTGCCAGCACGGCTGCAAGGTGGCCACGCTGGGCTGGTGGTGGGTACAGGAGGGCCAGCCTCACGGCGTCCCTGCCACGGGGTGCATTGTTCAGGAGAACACAAGGGGAAGGCCGGGGAGGACAGACTCTCTGGCTGCGTCGGGCTTCCTGCCTCCCGGCTGCA